GGGATCGTCCACAGTCTGACCCACATCCCCCACCAGGATCTCCTTGCCTTCCTCCAGGATGATGTTCTTCTTGTCCTCACTCAGGCAGAAGAGCACTGCCTTCTTGCGCTTCTTCACTTCCTCTGGTGTTGAGGACTTGCGCACCTTCATGTCATTGAATACCTTGATGACTCCATCAGAGACAGCCACACCAGAGGCCTGAGGGACAAGCCACATACACCTTGTGAAAAGGATTTAGGGTACTGCCCCTGTGGTCCCTCTTCATTCTCAGATCTCAATCTGGATGCCAAAAGTACACCCCCTATCCCAAGGGATCGCCAATTCCCTTCCCAAAGAAAGTCACTACTTTCCCACCCAAGCCACTGTCAAAGGACCAAATAGGATACAACTGCAGAGCAGCTATAAAAGAAACTTCCTATGAATTACGTAGTTCAACATCCTCCCTCTCTGATTTTACAGGCTAGAAACTGGAAACTTACAAAAAGCAAAGCACTGGCAGAGCAATAAGCCTAGAGTTAAAAGAAATCTAAGAACTACTGATTTGGTTCCTCACGGTAACTCAAATCTTAGCCAGGACAAAAGTACCGACACAGAACTTCACAAATAGGAGAGAAGGACCAACACCACAGCGGTAGTCTCTTCAAAGAGTGAACCAAGACTCACAATGCTAGCTGTGACACCAAAAGGTGCCGATAGCTCCACAAAGTCGGTCAGAACTGCTCAACGCAGATGTTACACAAATGACCTTCTTCCCTGCTGGGATCTTTGCCAAATAAGACAATAATCAGCTTCCAATAGGACTCTGTTAGACAACTCCCTACACTCTAAGAGCAGCGCAGTATCCCAAAGATCGCTGACAGAAATTGTCAGGTCAAACTCTAATGGTCAAAAGCACTAAGCCCTCTTTAAACTTCTACTTCCATCGCGCTTGGGGAAGCCCTAGACAGAAGGTCTGTCCACGGTGAAATCTACCCTCCCCGGCAGAGGAAGCAGGCCACGTGACCCGGCCGCTTCCGGAGTGGGCGGGGAAAGGAGATTGCTGGGCTTGTCCCCCTCCCCAAGAGAAAAGCCCCTACAGGGCAGCAACGGCACCTGCAAGAGCCCAACGCCCTGGCCGCTAAATAAGTCTAGAAGCTGCGGGCGGTAGCTTGAGAAAGTTATAAAAGTATACAAGCATCAATTCTCCGTGCCTTTGGGCTCAATATAGGGGGCGGAGTGGCTTCCGGGCGGTGCCCGCCTGGGTCACTTCCCTAAACTCGGCTCCACCCGCAGGCCTCATCCGGGAAAGCTGAAGGCCCAGCTGGTCCTGAGCTACTGCCCGGGTGGCCAGGACTAAACGTGTGCGCAAGCGCCGGCAGACCGTGCAGTTCAGCCCCGGCCCCGCGGCACAGACAAGAACCCAGCTCATTACCGGGGCTCGCTAGCTCGCTAGGACAGCCACGGCTTCTGCAGAGTCCGCTCCATGCCTTGAGGTGCAAACTCCTAATCGCAGGCACCAGCGCCTCGAATAGGACCCGGTCGCCGCAGCATCCCTCTAGTCCCACCGCGCCCGCCCTTCGCAGCCCTGGCCACCTGCTCTCGAGACAGACGCGTCCGCCGAGGGAGGGTGACGCGGAAAATGAACAGCCTTTGGGTGGGGCGCGCGTGCAGAGATCTCTCGCGCGCTTTCCTTCACCGTTCCGGGGTCGGGTTTAGATGCCGCGTGCTCCAGTAGAGAGCGCGCCCTCGTGAAACGACGCGCGACACCGGCCGCTCCGCGAGG